GTAATGCTGCCAAAGCCCACACGCGTGCCCTCATTTAGTCATGTGTTGATTACCTGAAGAATGTTCTTCAAGGTTGTCACTCTTGCTACCGTGTTCACACCGCTGATACAAAATGCCGACGCTTCGAATTTTTTGTTGCAGGACTTTTCTCCCAACCTAATACAAGGAGTCTATAATGTCCTAAAAACATTTTCCAGTTTTGGATAATATTCTCAGTAGGATCAAGGAGTTTAAAAAATCTTTCCTAGTATACACTAGAATCTAACAGCATTAGGCGTTTCCTAACTCACTGAGAAGTGGCAGTTTCTTCTTTTCGCCATAACATTATTCTTCCGACGCACAACCTCATGACAGTGATGCACTCCAAAGCAATATGTCCAACGTATCGGTGTTCACAAATGGGCTACCTTCACACGAAAGCAAGAAGGAAAGACTGTCATCACTCCCTCCCACAAAATGCGCAGGTGTAAACAAGGAAGGTTGGGTTCCTGTTAGCTACAGAATGTTATTAGAGAGCATGACCGTCCCTCCTTGAGTTTAGCAATGATTACACAGCCAACCAAATTTGATCGTACTAATTTACCGACATGGAAAACGAGCAATTCGAGCACTATTGTTAAAGGGTCATTATAAGTGTGATAGAGAAACCGCACATATTGAGAGAACTGTGATAGAGAAATCGTCCAAATTAAAAGAGCTTTTGTAATCACTCGGCAATGCATACGAAGCCTCTAGAATGGCTTCATTCGACATATTGGTGTACAAAGAAGTAACCTCGCCATCACAACGTCACGTGGAGATCTATGTCAAATAGTTCCTTGAGGTGCATATTCGTATTAGTCAGGTGGCTGTATGGTTATGGTATGGGTGTAGCGTGCGGTCATACAATAGCGTAATGGCTTTGCTAGCCACTATCCAGCTCCGTCCCGCCTTCGAGCATGACTTCGCACGGAATGACTGATATAGGTGGAGGCTTAGTGAGAAGGTGGTTGAAAGAGTTGGTACAGAATGGAAAGGATGGTAATAGGGCTTGAGATTTAAATCGAAAAGGAAACGTAGTACACACCACTAGAGAGATAAGTTGGATCTCATAATATGGTCGACCGTTCCGTTTCTTATGCGGAAATACGGGGAGGTCAGATGCCTCGACGATGGTGTCGTTGGAGAGCTGTCTAATGGGCAGAGGCATTCCAAGACGATATGGCCGTATTTACAGCGCGTAAGAGCTACGTTCAATCGTTGGTCTTCGTCCGGAAAGTCGCCGAAACATTCTCTGACATGACATGATCTCCCCACCAGGAATCAGTGGCCAATAAATAATGAGAAGTCCATCTTAATCTTCTACTTTTGTCCTCTTTAACTCGTACACCTCTTACGACCTCTTACAATACGTTTGAACCTAAAAATACATGTACTGAGAGAAAAACAACTATTTAAATTCAAATATCAGCATTGCCGATGACAAAATCAGTACTGAACTGTGCAGAAACAAATTTTTTGCTGCGAGTTTTCTATTCGATTTTAACTCGAAACCATAACCAGATAGTTGATAGGACTATAAAGTGAACCGGTAGCGAGCAGTGCGGATAGTTTCATACTTTCCCACAAAATTCTTTGATTTTACATTATCTTGAGCAATAAGTAAATCGAGATTTTTTGCTGATCATGGTCGCATTCAGATACAATTTTACTGAACTCCCTGACCATTCGTATTGGGATTCCTGTTTTCTCTCCTTTTCATTCATTTCTTCTCACTTTACCCATAGCTATCCTTTACTCCGTCTTTTTCATGTCTTACAGCCTTGATTTGATTTATATCTTTCGCGCGCCTGTCCTGCCAACGAGAGGTCGGTTCGACTCGCTGCTCCCGCACAATTTCTATTGATTCTTGCCTACTCGAACCACTGCTATCAACTCTTCGGGATTTCGTTTTTATTCAACTCGGGATCGCTATTATTTTGTTCACTACAAGCTCTGCTACTATTTTTTCAACACTCACGTGACAGGAAGCAGTTTGTCGTCTTTTCATGGTGCATCGGCCGTCAATATGCCCCGCTACCGCGTGTTGTACGCAATGGTACACGAAACACTACATTCGACGTCACTTCATTCAAATGGGTTATCCGGCGCAAAAACCCGTGAAACACGGGACTTGGTTGCATATGCACCCAAATAACATAATTTTTGGTCAAAAAAAGGTCCTGGAATCCATTTCAGTGCAGGACCATCTCCACATTTGTTCTAGCGAATCATAACCATGCTCGCTACCAACTGTATTGTCATCGTGCAGGCTGCTACACCGAGCCTCGTTCTCATCCTCTTATCTGGCCCCTTGCTTTTTTGAATCCTTCAACCCCTATTTGCATACTGTCATCGTGCAAGAGGCTACATGAACTTCTGTCTGTTCGCATACTCTCAGCTAGCCCATCGCATTTTTTCCATCTTTTTTTCGCACTGTCATCATACTAGATGCTACATCGAGTTCTGCTCGCGTACTCTCACTAGCCCATCGCAGTTTTCATATCCGTCTATCGTTTTCTTGTTTTGCCATCAGGCAAACTGCCCCACCGTGTCTGTTCAAGCTGCGCTGCTTCGTATCTGCTCGTTTTTGCGTACATGATTTCAATAAAGACAATTACATTTTGCGCACCTCTCTTGCATTTGAGCGAATAATTCTCAGTTCAGTGCAGCACGCGCAACGAGCGAACGAAATCAAACGCAGGATAGGAGCAGAAAAGAAAATGTCATCAGAGACGACGACTTTCACCGCACAGTCCCAGTTGAAAAAAGAAAGAGGCGCTACCGCACCTTTCAACATCTGATCGGCTGTACAACGACATAATCAAATGTTGCAGTGAAAGTGTTGAGCTTATAACATAACATAACATTAGTTCTGACATTGCATACTTCTTTGACAACAATGACCCATGGCCACTTCTAGTAAGAAAGGCTCGTATTAGGGAATTGACTGTCGAAAACTATTCTCTACATTTGCAATCCTTGCTAAGCCACCTCTCCTCTTTTCTCATCAGTACCGGTCTTAATCGCGACGAAGGCAGTTCGCGAAAAAGCATGGAACTCTCGTATGAGTACCCCGCACTACTATCCCGGTGGTTCGGAGAGGAAGCTTCCGCTGCTCACTTCGCAAAAGGCCATTCAAAGGATCATGGAAGACTGCGAAG